GTGTGTGGTGGTGGTGTGTGTGTGTGTGTGTGTGTGTGTGTGGTGTGTGTGTGTGTGTGTGTGTGTGTGTGTTGGTCAGAGGGGAAGAAAGCGTGCACGAAGTGATGTCATCGAAAACACCAGGAGCTCTCACAAAGGCGCGCACACACGCACGCGCCCACAGACAGACAGGTCCGCAAAGCGCCGCTGCGACCAGTACACACCGTGACTCGTCGCCCTGCGCTGTGAGTCTGCGGCGCTGTTCGCTGAGTGCAGACTGCATGCGCTCCTCAGACTCCCGCCGCAGCCGCTGCAGCTCCTCCTCAAGGTTGCGCACCTGCGCACACACACACACACACGCACACACAACAGATACACATTTATGCAGGCGCGACGCACAACACGCGCGCATACACGCACGCATACACGCACACGCACGCACACGCACATACACACACACGCACACACGTGTGGAAGGGAATGCTGTGAGCATCTCTTTCGTCTGCAGCGCACGGTGTGCGAGTGTCACGCATGACCATGTCCTCATGTTGGTGCAAACGGTGTTCTAGTCACTCACGTGCTCGCTGAGCTTGAGAACCGTCTCTGAGCTCTCGCCAAGCTGCTCCTTCAGTGTTGAAACCTAAACAGGCGCCAAACATGCAATATGGGAGTATCATGAGACCACATGGCGCAGCATGTAGCACATACAGCTGCTTCATCAGCACAACCGACACCACATGCTCAACGTGCGGATATGTTCTCACAAACACCCACACGCTTGCTCAACAATCCAACCCCCCCCCCTTCGCACAACCAGGCACACACAACGCACACGCACGCACACGCGCACATACACAACTTACACAACTTACACAACACAAATTCCTCCCTCCCTCCCTCCCGCACACACGCACACACGCACCTGCAGCTCGAGGTGTCTCCGGCCAGAGGATTTCTCTGTGGCGCTCTCCTCCAACATACGCACGCGCGAGTGCAGCCCGTCCAGCTCAACGGCCATCTGCGACTTGATGCTGGCAATCCGCTCAAGGTCGCGCTGGCACACGCTCGCCATATCGTGGCCGAGCGCTCCGTTGCTCTCAACCTGATGCCAGCCGGGCACAACAAAGGTGAGTACGTGTATTTGGGGGGGGGGGGTGTGCACGCACAGAGGGGTGAATGGTGGGAGTGGGCGCGAGCGATGTGACACATGTTCAAACAAAAATGCACGCGCGGTTGCACAGGGATGGACACAGCACAATCACAAACAAGGCTGGTAGGAGCGCGGGAGGTTATGTGGGTGAGCAAAATGTGGCATGACAATATGACATGCGTGATCCCCCGGTCGAAGTGCTGGTGGTGATTTGTGTGAAAGCAGCAGTTCCGTGCGCTTTTCCGCTTCAGCTTGCAGCATCCATCAACGCACCTTGGCCAGCTCTTGGGCGGCTTTCCTGAGCTGGTAGCGGAGCTCGTCGCGTTCAGCAAGCACGGCGCGCACCCCGAGTGGGCTCATGTGTTGTGCTGCTTTGAGGGATGCGAGCTTGCTCTTGCCGTGTGTCCATGCCTCTGCTTCGGCGCGTGCGCGCGCCATGACTGCCTCGGAGTCCAGGCTCTCGCGAGCGGCGCGAATGGCGCGGTTGGTCTCGTCTGCCTTTGCCATGCGCTCCCGCACGGTCGACGTCATTTGCTCGAGCAGCCGCAGCGCATCGCTGCGATGCGCCGACGAGGGCTCGGGCGCGGTGGCGCCTTTGCTGGTGATAAACGTGCTGGTGTATTCTCCAGCTGCCATGTCCCGCTTACCGCCACCAACACTGCCATGACTGCTGCCGCGGCCCTCTTCCCATGCACGCCGGGTTGTGCCGTATGCATCGCTGTCCAAGCGGGAGTCGCTGGCCAGTGTGCTTCGGCCGCCTCGGCCCGATGTGGAGGAGAAAGACGACGCAGACCCGCCACGCCTGCTACCTGCAGGCTCGCTCCAGTGGCGCTGGTAGGCAGAGGACGGTGAGTGGGCCGTGGATGCGGTGCCCTTGCCACGAGCGGCGCCTTGGCGCGTGGATGCGTGAAACGCAGACAGATCGGGATCCATGCCCGTTGGTCGCACACGCGACCGAAAACTGCTACGCGACATGTGTGAAACGAAACAAAGACGGAAGAAGAGGGAGGAAATAGACAAGAGACAAGAGACACAAACAAGAGGGGGCAGCACTCACGACGATGAAAGAAACAGTGGAGGAGACGAAGAGGTGTGTGTGTGTGTGTGCCTTGGGTGCGGAGCGCAGCAATAACTGTCAACCCACAACAACAACAACAAGCAAAGAAGGCCAAGCAAGCAACAACGGCCAACCAGCCAGCTCTGAACGGCGCGTCAGTGAGCAGTGTGGAAAAATAATTGAAATTATCCATCAAAATTCAGCAGCTGTGTTTGGCTTCGTGTGTGCGTGGTGTGTGTCGCGAGTGTGTGTGCGCGGTGTGTGTTGCTTTCCATCCAGACTCCCATCCAAGCAAGCAAGCATGTCGGACGACG